TCCCTTCCACCCCTTTCTTTCAGATAGACATATGGTCTCTCCCTCACACCCCTCCTAAGGCCTGCTCCTGGGGTACTTACAACCCCTCGCCATCCACAGGCTGATGCAGTTATGTGGTTGGGTAAAGTCCCTCTGACTGACCCTGCAAACTTGGCATTTGTGCAGTGGCCAGCCTCACTCATGTCCGGGACAGTTCCACCCATGACTTAGCACGCATGGAAACCCCTGCATCTCACGGAGAAGCAAAAACCTGCATGTATGTCAGGGTAATGAGGTATTCCCTGGTGAGAACTGTGGCTTTACATTAGGTGATCACCATTGTGGTTCCATGAAAACAGGCTTCACTGCCGAAGCCCAGTTGCACCTTAATTAAGCACTTTACGAGCCCAAGCAGGACGGGCACACGAATAGATCAAAATGTTGGCCCATCCCCAGGCAAATCATAGGAGCCAGTGTCCCCATTAAGTCTGTAAGGAGGAGGAGGAAAACACTTCCCTGGAAAAAGCATTTTCAAACAGAATATAACTCCTAAAGTCTGTACTTTCTAGGAAATTGTAATGATTATAGCCTCAATTATATTTCTGCACCCTGTAATCAAGAAGAGGCACCAGGTTAGAGGGCAAAATCGCACCGTCTGCCTGCTATGGAGTCTCAGTAAAACAATTTCCATTTATTTCCTACCTCTCCTTGTTTGTCAAGATTTATCAAGCTTGGGGCACTGCCTGCTTTGGGTTTTCAGACGTCTTGACTTCACTGAAACTTAGGCACCCACCCTCTCCTTCTCCAAATTTTTGCCCGTTGCCCTTATTCAAAGAGAAAGCGACCAGAACTGCTGAACTGACGAAATGAGTAGCCCCTACTTCCAGGATTCCAAATGCCTGACTTGGTGCTCCATCTGCTGTGGGGCACTGCCATTCACTAAGTTCCGGATCGGAAGGGCGAGCATCAGACATGCGCCCAGCCTCCTCCTCTACAACTTGGCGCTTCTATCCGGCAGCAGAGGTGATGGGCACCCAGCGAGCAATTTGGAGAGAGATGAGATGCTGCGTCAAGCGCCTGGCAAAGACTCCAAGCTCCCCGAGTGATTAGCAGGAGACGTCAGAAGCCAGAGCTGTGGGGAAAAGTTCCGCGCGTGAGGTGAGGAGCTGGAGATGGTTCTTTTTTTTTTTTTTTTCTTACATGGAGTGTCGTCACTCTGTCGCCCAGACTGGAGTGCAGTGGCCACTCCTGGCCACCGCAGCCTCGACCTGCTGGGCTCCAGCGATCCTTCCGCCTCAGCCTTCCAAGTAGCTGGAACTACAGGCGCGCACTACCACGCCCAGCTAATTTTTGATTTATTGTAGAGATGAGGTCTCACCAAGTTGCCCAGGTGGGTCTCGAACCCACAGGCTCAGGCAATCCACTCACCTCAGCCTCCCAAAGATGGTTCTTAAGGGCAGAAAAAAGCCGACAAGAAAATACAGGATATTTCTGAAATTGTCACAGGTCCCACAATCAGCCCCGGGCCTTCTCCAACTCTAGTCCTAGGACTGAACACTTGAAATCGTCTCCCTCCTTTTGTTCACCATTGCAAAGATCCTTCTAGAACCGGCAAGTCAGGAAATACACTTTTCACTCCGTTTCAAAAAATGATCTCTGATGCTTTGGAGTTACACTGGACAGGTGACTTGGAGATCATATTCCAACCTGTTATTCAAATCAAAGAAGGTGATATTCAGAGAAAGTACGTGCCGTGCTCGAGATTACAGAGCCAGCAGAGGCAGAACCAGACCTGGAAGTCGGGTCTGCAGTGTCCTATCGGGCTCTTTCCTCTCTTTGTGGAATTCCGGACACCTGGCTCTCCTGGTCCACTCACTTCCAGGCACCGCTCTGCATCTAAACCTCCAAAACAGCGGACTGTCTTCAGCAAAGCAGTCGGCCCACCCTGCAGGAGCCCGAGTGGAGGCACGATGTCACCGTCCAAGTTGGCTCCTTCTGCTCCTTGGGAAAAGGCACGACACAGAGCACACTCCACGTGGGTCCCACCATTGCAGCATCTTCTCACACACCCGGAGGTGAACCCTGTGGTCTGCAGGCAGGTCAATCACCTGCTACAGCCGGACCTTCTTAAGGTTGCGCCACCGGCGGCAACCACAAGCCCCTCGCTGCAGGATCCCCGATAGATGTCCACATGCGTTGCCCAGTCACCTGGGCTCCCCTTCCAAGAGCCAGCAGTCAGCCCGACGCAAACTCTGTCCCTCTGCCTACAAGAAAGAAGTGTCTGGCAACCTTGGCGTTCCAGGCACCACATCAGAGCACACCAGGTGCTCCTAAGGGCAGGAGTGCTGCCATGGAAACACGGCGTTTGTGAAACCACGCCACTCAAATCTGATGCCAAACAAACCATTTTAATCATGTCTATTTTCTTTCTGTTTTCTTTTTCACCATAACAATTTTCATTTATTTTATTGTACTTTCTTCAAAGCACCATCTTCTGATTGAAACGATCCACAGAAAGCCCCTAATTTCTTCCTGTACCCAGGTCTGTGTAAAGAGCTTTACAGAGCTTTGAGTACTTAAGGCACTTTGGGATTTTGAATGAACCCAGGTAATCTGTTTGGCTCTTGACCACCAATGATCACTTAACATCTTTATCGGAAAAGTGACAAGTGGAACTAAATGCACCTTTGGTAAAAATTGGGACTTTCTAGGAAGTTCTTATTACTGGGTTTCCTGGTTTCCCTCAAAGCTGGCTTTAATTCAGTGGGAAAGGATTACCTTTACCAAGAAACAGGTAGCATGGAGAAAAGAAATGTGAGCTCTGGAACCCAAACAATGTGAGTTTAGTACCACCACGTACTCTGTAAACTCTGGCAAGTATCTAACCTCAGAGTCTCTGTTCCTGGTTCGCAAAATAAGAATAATAAAGTGCCTAGCAGAATTCTTGAGTCAGAACAAATGCCAACACACAGCTATGGCGACGTGGGCATTGTAGGAGGAAGGTGTAATCTCTGAGCTTTTAACTCAATCACTTGGAAAGCATCACACTTAGACTATACTCACTACCTCACTACACTCGATGTGCATATTTTCGGGTTTTTTTGAGTCGGAGTCTCACTCCGTCACCCAGGCTGGAGTGCAGTGGTACGATCACGGCCACCACAGCCCCGACCTGCTGGGCTCAGGCAATCCTCCTGCCTCAGTCTTCCAAGTAGCTGGAACTGCAGACACATGCCACCACACCCGGCTAGCTTTTGTGATTTATCGTGGAGAAGCAGCCTCATCAAGTTGCCCAGGCTGATCTCAAACCCGCGGGCTCGGGCAATCCTCTCGCCTCAGCCTCCCAAAGTGCCAGGATGACCGGCTGAGCCACTGTGCCTGGCTGATGCACACACTTTCAGCCTCCTCGAGTTCAACGACTGCTCACGCTGACCACCTGCTCCTGAGCTCTCGCCAAGGGCAGTGGGGCTCTGTCTGCAGAGAGGCAGCTGCTAGTCGGGGTGTCCTTTCAGTCCCGTGGCTACTCGTCTCAGCACAGACACCCCACCAACAGTCAGCACATGTGGAACTGAAGCAGTCAAGAGTTTTCTTTGAAACTAGCCCACGGACACTAAATTTCCTGGTACAGCCCTTAAGGAAGAGTTCTCCTTAGCAGCCCGACTGGCACATGCGCCGCCATTCTTCGGTAAACAAAACATGACTATGCCACCTTTGTGCTGTGAGAAAACCTGGAAGCTGTGTATCCAGGCCAGCTGGATCTTTGGTTTTTCCTCCACGACAGGGGGAACTGGCCTTGAAGGTCTTGTGGGCAGATCCTGCGCCATCCCTGAATTTTAGCAGCTAACCTCATCTTTGGGACATGGAGCATAGAATGCCCACCTACCAGAAAGAGCACGGATGGGCCCTGCCTATTAGAAAGGAAACAAGCGTTCAAATAGCCAGCAGCGGTTGCCAAAACATCTCAACGCAAGTGCCAACAACCATGGAGTTGACAGCAAGCATGACAGCTTCTGGAGTCAGGTAAATTCATGGATCTTAAGATACTGCACCCGGTTCGGTGGCTCAGCCTGTAATCCTGCGCCTTTGGGAGGCTGAGGTGAGTGGACTGCCTGAGCCCGCGGGTTCGAGACCTGCCTGGGCAGCGAGACTTCATCTCTACAATAAATAAAAAAATCAGCCGGGCGTGGTAGCACACGCCTGTAATTCTGGCTACTCGGAAGGTTAAGGCAGAAGGATCGCCGGAGCCCAGCAGGTCGAGGCTGGGTGGCCGGGAGCAGCCACTGCACTCCAGTCTGGGCGACAGAGTGAGACTCCAACTCAAAAAAACCAAAAAAGATACTGCACCCTAAAGAGAGGGGTGAACAAGGTTTATTTTTTGCAAAATTTAAAAATCAAGGGCACAGAACACTCCAGCACCGTCTCGCCCATCCAGCCATGGACTTTGGGATAGCATAGTGCCCTCAGAATGAAGAGTCAAGACTGGACCAAGCCTGTCATCAGTGAAAGAGTCATTGCCAAGTGGCCTCAAGAAAACTCTGAAAATACTAGCCAAATCCATAGTGACTTCTTCGATTTTAATCACACAATGAAACAAAAACATAATTTAGCATACTCATCTCCAATTATGATATTTCATTCCAAAAATAAAAACAAGAAGACACGATGTGTCTTAACAGAATACTTAAATTTTCATCCCAAGTGTTATCTTTTCCTTTAAAACAAATGAGTGCAGAACCCCCAGATGTTACCCCCTTGGTGAGAATTGTCAAACACCTGGTTGTGTATATGTCTCTTCACAAACAAGGCTGCTAACAGATGGCTCAAGGAGTAGATGGCGCGGAGGCCATCTCTTCCAAATTACAGGCCCACCCATGCTAGAGCTCTCCAGGCAAAGCAAAACCCCTCCTGTTACTCTAGACAAGCTCACCCCCATCGTAATCGCCCAAGAAACACAGCCATCCCCATGCGGAGTCCAAGGGAAGCCACACCTGGGAGTCTGTGAGGACCCCGAGCTCACTCACTTGTCTTCCGTGAAACTCTCCCCAGTAACAACGTTCTTCCCTTGGGGCACATAGCTCCAGTATTCCTCCACAATCCCAATGTGGTATGTCCTGGTGACTGTGCCAACCAGCCCAGACAAACCCAGGAACGTGAGGAGAAGGATGCAGCCAGCCTGCTGCTTCTGAGGCATTTGTGGATGTTATGCAGGCTGGAAGCCAGCACGGAGACTGCCCTGCAGGCCCCTCCCTCTCGCTCAGCCCCTCCTCCTTTGGGAGCTTGGGGTTGGGACATCAGCTGAGGACTTGTGTAAGCAAGCCAGGCTCAGTGGGGCGCTGCTAGACAACGAAGCCATCCAAGGGGCATGTGACTGGCGTATGTGCTGACCGTCCAAGCCAAACAGGCCTGTTTCTGTAAGCGGCAGTGCCCTGCTCTGATGTCAGCCACTTATCTTTGCCGGGATGGCTGTGTGACAACTTGGGCTGGTGGCTTTCCCCTTCTCCTTCTTTTTTTCCTCCACACCCATTACAGGAACATATTAAAATCTGAAGAAGGGCTGACCTGAATGGAGCATTGGGAAACATTCCTAGCACTAAAAGACTAAAGACCTCGTCTCTGGCGGGAGGGCAGAGGGGTGGTATAATCACCCTGCAGCTTGTTTTACGAGGCTACATGAAACAGTCAGCTCACACCATAAAGTTCATAGCAACATTGCAAACCCCACTAATTCTCCATTGGCTCATGCACCATCTCCCCAGATTCTCTCAAATCCCACCAGCAAAAATGAGAAGCTTGGCGGCCCCAGGCGGCCTTCGCCTCCAAAATTCATATCCTGAGAAAGGGAGTTCCTTTCTGAAGATGTAGGAACCTGGAGAGGGAGGAGCACCCTTCAGGTGCAAAATTCCACCGCAAGCCTTTGAGTCAACAAGGGAGTGCTGCTTTTCAGTGTGTTCCGATCTGTGTTCTGGGATCTTGGTACAGAAAGGGCTTGTTCAGCCTTGGAAGAGCGTCCGGCTGACCCCTGTGCAGAGCTGTCTTGAAGCAGCAGCCTGGAACGAAGGGAACAGCTACCTGGGCTTTGAGGCTGGACTGGCCCGGTTTGAGTCCAGCGAGTCCCACATTTCCAATTCAGCAGCATGGAGGGACACTTGAACTCTGAGTCTACGCTGTAAAACAGAGGTTGAGGGATTCTGAAGGTCTTAAACGATGATATCTGCCAAATGCCGACCATCTCTCCCAACACAGGTACTCTGAATGTCAGAGTTCTTCCCTTCACACCCTCTCGCGAGACCGTGCCAGCCTCGGGTCAACTGCCTTGCATGTGCACGATGTGCCCTTGTGTTCCTTCCACAGCTCTTTCCAAAGTCTCATCTGCCATGCCGTTCGCCAGTTTCAAAGAAGAGACTTCTTTTTATTTAAATGGCAGGTACTCCATGAATGTTCCATAGTACAGGTTTTGAGGTAACACCCACCTTAACTAGCAAAATACATCCCCTGGAGTGTCCCATTTCGTAGTCGGGCTCCTAACATCTTTGATTTACAGGCTTGCTTTTATGTCAGGGACACTGGTGGAATTAGTACATAGCACATCTCTCTATGGCCCAAATCTCTTTGACATGGGTCTGGGAGCGTCATACGAGTTGGGGCCCTAACAACCACTATAGATGGAGATTCCCAGGGTGGACTGCCCATGCCTCAACAGAAGGAGGCAGTTGGGCCATGCCACGTGAATTATCACAGGAACAAAGAACCAAAGCGACAGGTGCTCACTACTAAGCAGGCCCCATCACTGGTCACACAAGCACAAGGGTGGGAATGGCAGATGCTGGACACTGCTGGGGGGCAGGGAGGGGAAAGGAGGGGACAGGGGACCATACACTGGGTACCTGGTCCACTCTCAGGGGCGAGGGGGCCAGCTAGAAGCCCAACCCTCACCTGCACGCAGCCTGCTTATGTCGTAACTCGACTTGAACTCCACAACTCTAAAATAAATAAATACAAAGAAGTAGGGAGTTAGGACTTCTGGGAATTTGGAAATGTTGCAGACCAAAGAGCCTTTGCTTATCTTCTGAGATGCAGGCTATTTGGGGCCTGTCAAAACCTTCATTAGGATGTATTCTCCCCAGGTTCTTTTAGACGGGAGAAATAATAGGTAAGAGTGAACTTTCCTACACAAGATACTGAATGCATACAATAAAAACCTTGCAGAAGGCCTCACCTACCTTCTGATTCAAAAACTAGAACTTCAAGAGGACAGGCAGGTCAAGAAAGTCAGCATTGGCCGGGCTCGGTGGCTCAGTCTATAATCCCAGCACTTTGGGAGGCCAAGGCGAGTGGATTGCTGAGCCTGTGGGTTCGAGACAGGCAACTTGGCAAGACCTCATCTCTACAATAAATCAAAAATTAGCCAGGCATGGTAGCACGCACCTGTGGTTCCGGCTACTTGGAAGGCTGAGGCAGAAGGATCACCAGAGCCCAGCAGGTCGAGGCTGTGGTGGCCGGTGACAGAGTGAGACTCCAACTCAAAAAAAAAAAAGAAAGTCAGCATTGTGACAGCAGGTGAAATCAGCACATTCAATCCATTTGCAGCAAGGACTTGGACACCGAGGGGCACAAGCGGAAAAGAGTTTACCGAAAACAGTGAAATAGGGTTCCTCGAAAGCACTCTTTTGCTCTCCCTTGCTCTAGGGCAATAAAAGTGGGAGTCAAAGAGCATCTGAATTCCATAAAAGTGAAAGGAAAGAAAATAAACTGGCATAAGACATGCAGTGTGCCCCTAACACGCCCTTCTGGAAACCCACAGTTAAATGCAAGATGTCTTTGGCAGTGTCTACATTTTATTAGGAAAACTGTAAATAAAACTATTAACAAATACCTTCATCTCCACTGAACACTGTTCAGACATAAATAAAGCAGAGAAACTTGCCATTTATCGAGCATCTGTTATGTGAGACAGCCAGTTCAGGATGTTCACTCCATTCCTCAAAACACCAAATCCGAGATATGACAAATGTCATACTATGCATCAATAGAAAAAAAAGACAGCCCTGGATCAAACTGTATTTCTCTCAGATATGGTGCAGACATACCTCAGAGATATTGTGTGTTTTGTTCCAGACCACTGCCATAGAGCAAATATTTCAACAAGTCACACAGATTTTTGGTATCCCAGTGCACATAAAAGTTATGCTCGCACTTAAGTGTATGATAACATTATGTCTCTTAAAAAATTGCATTCCTTAATTTGAAAATACTTTATTGCTAAAATGTGCTAACAATCATCTGAGCCCTCTGCAAGTTTTAAGTTTTGTTCACGTGGAGGGTTTTAGCTTTGATGTTGATGGCTGCTGGACTGATCAGGGCAGTGGTTGCTGAAGGTTGGGGCAATTGAAGTAATTTCTTTAAATAAGACAACAATGAAGCTTGTTGCATCAATCGACTCTTTCATGAAAGATTTCTCTGTACAAAGCAATGCTGTTTGACAGCATTTTACCAACAATTGAACTTCTTTCAAAATTAGAGTCAGTCCTCTCAAACACTGCCGCTGCTCTATCAACTAAGTTTATATAACACGCATAATCTCTTGTCGTCATTTCAACAGATTTCATACCATCTTCACCAGAAGTAGATTTTATTTCAAGAAACTACTTTCAGCTAGATTACAGCTCATACCTGTAATTCCAGGAGGGTTGCTTGAGGCCGGAGTTCGAGACTCAGCCTGGGCAGCAAAATGGATTCCATCTATTTAAAAAAAATTTAAAAAAAAAGGAAGCCACTCTCTTTGCTCAACCATAAGAAGCAACTGCTCATCCACTCTAGTTCTCTCGTGAGATTACAGTAGCTCAAACACATCTTCAGGCTCCCCCTCTCGCTCTAGTTCTCTTGCCGTTTCCATCATACCCATCGCCGCCTCTTCCACTGAAATCTTGAACCCCCAAAGTCATCTCTGAGGGTGGAATTAATTCCTTCCAAACTTCTGTTAATATCAGTAACTTTACCTCCTCTCATGAATTGCAAGCATTTGTAATGACATCTAGAATGGTGAATCCTTTTCAGAAAGTTTTTCGTTTACTTTGCCCAGATCCATCAGAGGAATCACTATCTAATGGCAGCTACAGCCTTAGTAAATAAATTTCTTAAATTATAAGACTTGACGGTTAAAATTGCTTCTTGATCCATGGGATACAGAATGGGTGTTGTGTTAACAGGCATGAAAACAATATTTATCTCATTATGTCACCACCAAAACTCTGGTGACTAGGTGCATTGCCAGCAGAATTTTAAAAGGAATCCCTTTTATCTGGTGGTAGGTCTCAAGAGTGGGCTTAAAATATTCAGTAAGCCGTGCTGCAAACAGATGTGCTATCATTCAGGCATTGTGGTTCCATTTCTAGCGCACAGGCAGAGTAGATTTTGCAAAATTCTTAAGGGCCCTAGGATTGTTGGCATGCTAAATGAGCACTGACTTTAACTGCCAGGTCAGCGACTGCACTATCCCTTCAGAAGAGAGTCAGTCTAGGCTGTGAGACTTTGAAGTCAGACACTGACGACCCTGCTCTGGCTATGAAAGTCCTGAATGGCATCTTCTTTCAGTAGAAGGCTTTTTTACATTGCTTAGTGTAGGCACTGTCATCCATTATCGCAGCCAGATCTTCCAGAGAACGTGCCAGAACTTCTGCATTAGCACTGGCTGCTTCGCCTCCAAATGTTCGAGTGAAAAGAAGAGTGACACGTCTTCCATACAACTCCAGTGAGCTCACAAATGATAAGAACATGGAACAGGCTTCCTGCTGGTGTGGAGAAGGTTCGAGTGGTCTGGAGAGCACATCAAACCAGCCACAACACTCCCTTTCGCCAAAACCTAAATTGGTAGCAAGACCCGAACTCTCTTCACTGGCATTGCACTTTTAATTCCTTTCACAAACGTTTCCCTTGCATTCACAACTTGGCTAACTGTAGGGTGCAAGAGGCCTAGTTTTGGACCTGTCCGGGCTTTGAAGCTGAATAATTTGTAGCTTTTGACTTAAAGTGGAAGACAGGCCACTCTTCCTTCCACTTGAACATGTGGAAGCCACTTGGGGTTACTAATTGGCCTCATTTCAATATTATCTTGTTTCGGGGAATAGAGAGGGCCAAGGAAGCAGAAGAGAGATGGAGCAGTCAGAACACACACTAGATTGTCGACTGAGAGCACT